GACTGCAGACAATGACGACTTTCATGCCACCGCCCCCAGCTGCTACGTTTCTTGCATTTCATCCTCAAGACAACAATATTATTGCCATTGGCATGGAGGATTCTTCTATACAAATTTACAATGTTCGGGTAGATGAGGTATTACTCTAATTAGTTGAGTTTGATAAAACTATCAGATTAAGGAACTTCTGAGTTTACCGTTGCTTTTCATTCTTCATCCAAGGTCAAAACCAAGTTAAAAGGTCATCAGAAGAGAATCACTGGTCTTGCTTTTTCTCACATTCTAAATGTGCTTGTATCATCTGGAGCTGACTCCCAGGTAATGAATTTTACTCTATTACTATGGACGTTGAATTGCCAAAATGCTGGTTCCTGGTTATCAGTCGTTACTGCAGCTGTTTAAAGATGTTTAAAGCTCAAGTAGAGTTTCTCGTTAGGCTTTTGTTCTGTTTGGGCAATGTATGTGGGAGTGTGTTTCTAATGTTCCCAGCTTCCTTTTCTGCTGTATTGTAACCAGTAATCATCTGCATTTTTTAAATGATGCATTTGGATCAGTTAGAGGACATCTGTGGCGGGTGAATGGTTTCTTTTGATGAGTGCTATTAGAAAGATAATTTTGAAAATCACTGTATTGTGTAGAAATCCAATTTGTTCTTAGTTTTTGGTTGAATGTGTCCGCAGTTGTGCGTTTGGAGCACAGATGTATGGGAAAAGCAGGCGAGTAAATTTCTGCAGATGCCTAGTGGTCGAGCGCCAGCACCTCTTGGTGATACTCGCGTCCAATTTCATATAGATCAGACACATTTGCTGGTTGTACATGAAACCCAAATAGCTATACTGGAGGCACCTAAGTTGGAATGCTTAAAGCAGGTGTGCTTCTGATTACATGCATTTAGTTTTAACAAGTTAAATCTCCTAAATTTGACTTGATGGAGTGGATTAAGTTTATTTATTGCTACCTTCATTGGTTTTCTGCATTTCGAGGTGATGTCCCTTGCAAGCCTACTTATTCTGGAATTTTGTTGTTATCTGATCAGTGGGCTCCGCGAGAAGCCAGTGGTCCAATCACGCATGCTACATATTCATGTGACGGTCAATCAATATATGTAAGCTTTGAAGATGGAAGTGTTGGCGTTCTCACTGCTTCAACCCTCAGATTACGTTGCAGAATAAATCAAACTGCATATCTCCATCCGAATCCAAGGTGCCTTCTGTAATCAAGTGTAATGAAAGATCTTGGTATTATTTTCCTACTCATATCTAATGGTTCTTTTTTCAGCTTGAGAGTGCATCCTCTTGTTATTGCGGCACATCCCTCCGAACCCAGTCAGTTTGCATTAGGACTTACAGATGGTGGAGTATATGTTCTTGAACCTCTAGAGTCAGAAGGAAGGTGGGGCTCTCCACCCCCGACAGAGAACGGCGCTGGTCCAAGCACCACTTCAGGAGCCACTGTATCAGAGCAACCTCAAAGGTGACTCTGTATCTTGTAGTCTTTCTCCAAGGACCTTGAGTGTATGTACTGGATTGTGATCCCGCTCCCTTGTGCAAAGGGGAAGCTGCGGAATTTAGGTGTCGTTAGCTTTAGGATATGCCAGATCGAAACTATCACCTTCTTAGTGGCTTCCTAACCAATTTGTATTTCCATGAAATTTTCAGATTTTTTTTTTCCTCTTTTCATTTAGGACTACTACCTAAGTCTGCTTATGTAGGGTTAAATCTAAAAGGGGTGCTGGAGAGAGAGGAGGGTTAAGGTCTGCTTTTTCCTTTTCCCTTTTGGTTGGGCCTGTTTTGTTTTGTTTTTTTGTTTTTGTTTTTTGGTATATATTGATCTAGTCATTATAATTAATTTTTTACCCAGCTAAAGCTAGATACTCTGACATGCAGTTCTGTTCTGTTATTTACCTTATTTGCTATGATTCTTTTAGATCCATCAATCGTAGAGTTTACTATCCTACTTACTCCTCGTCGTCATATTATTAAGAGGCATTGAGGTTACCCTGATTCGCGTGTTAAAGTTATTTAGATTGCACTGCTTATATATAATGATCACTATCAAGTTCCTTGTTCATTTTGATCATGGACCTACATCCTAGTTTAATTGACCTTGTTCATTTTGAACGCCTGACACGCGACTGGTGAAAGCATTTTATTTTTCAGTTGCCCAAAATAGCATTTGATGAGTGATGGGAATGGTCAGGTTCAGATATTCTCTTCATCCCCGCTTTCTCCTTTTCTTCTCCAAATCCCATCTCCACTTTCAGAAAAGAAAAGAAAAGGAAAGAATGATTTATATTTATTTGTTTTATGAAATAGTTATTATAATATTATGTTAAATAAATAAATAAATTTAAATCATTAAAAATTAATCTGCATAGTTTGTCGCTGCAATAGAATAAAGATTTTTTTTTTAATTATAGCATGCAGCTGTGAAGATTAAATTTTAACAATTTAAATATGATATTATGATAATTGTTTTATAAAACAATTAAATCTAAATCATTCATTTTATTAATTGAGGGTGGAGATGAGAGACAAAAAGAGTGAGAGAGAGAGTGATGAGAAGAGGATCTGGACCGGGAATGATCAAGATGTAATTATTACTTATCATGGACAATTGACAATTGGGAACCTTCTAGGACTTTTTAACTAGACTCGTATGAGATTTTAAAATTTTCAACTGAAATTTGATCATGGTTAAGTCGATCTACTTAATTGCCATTATTCTTCTTTCAAGATTTCGTTTCCGAAAAGGATGGATCACTGGAAGCGCTTTGCATTATACTACGCTAAGGGATTTCAAACGTGTTTGAATCCGTGGGCGAGAGTAACACCTTTAACCACGACCCATGTTTGCTTTGTTGGATTTGAGATGGATTGTATTATTCATAATTTGTAAGTAGTTTTTCTTGCAGCATGTTTTACATTACATGTCGAATAAATGTTTGGACGCTTTTAAAAACGCGGTCAACGCTTTTGAAACCAAACTCGATAATTCAACTCTAATAAATCAATACTGGTACACTAAATTTTATCAAATTTATCTACTACAGCTTGCAATTTATATTATTAACTATGGTGATTGTATTTGTGCCCTACCGGTTATTAAACATTTAACATTGCAAAATCATAAAGAAACGGCAACAAGGAAACAAAAATAGGAAGAATTATTCAAAGAATGTACAACAATAATTAAATAACCTCATGCTTCCAAGGTTATTATTATTCTAAGATTATGACCTCTTCAAGTTGTATAAATTATTTAATTATTTTAAATGTCTATTGTAAAGTAGTATTTTACCGGACTGAATAATGAATTGAAAAGATAAGTAAATTACAGGTCTCATGGTTCAATCACTTATATTGATAGTTGAACCAATCATATAATAATTAAATAAAAAATAATGTTTGTACCCACACATGTTAAAAAATAGGTCAAAATGATTCAATCACTCTGCATTTCAAGCTTTTACTTTGGGTTTTCAAGAACTGTTCGGGTCAAAGTTGCCCAACACAGATCAATCGCTAGAACGGGCCAAATGGTTGAACTAAGCTGTTTTCTTTTTCAACTGATGGTTCAACTGGTTTGATCATCCAGGTCTTGAAATAGTATTGTAAAGAATACAAGACAATAGGATGCACATTACTTTTAGAGACTAATTATACTATAAATTTACTTTGTGCTCTCTTCGTGTCTAATTGTAAATTTTAATTTTTAATTTTACCACATCTCTAATTATAAGTCTCATTACAAAGTTTTGTGTAATTAACATATTTTTTAGGAAAAATTAGTTATTTGATTCTTGTAGTCTTGATTTAATTATAACCCAATCCCTCAACTTTTACTCGTTATAACTTAGTCCCTAAAGTTTTCACTTAATTATAAATCAATTCCTAAATTTTACCTCTTATAATTTAGTCCCTAAAGTTTCAACCTCTTAAATATTGGTCCCTATATTTTAAGAAATAAAATTATAAAGATTAAAATATTTTAAAATTTGAAAACCCTTTTAATCTTTATAAATATTATGAATATTAAAAGTTTAAATATTTTAAATTTTTACAATGTTATTTTTTAAAATATAGGGATTATTATTTAAAAGGTTGAAACTTTAGGGATTAAATTGTAAGAAGTAAAGCTCAAAAATTAGTTTATAATCAAGTCAAAACTTTAGGGATTAGGTTATAATGAGTCAAAATTAAGGAACTGAGTTACAACTAGGTCAAAATTATAAGGATCAAATGATTAATTTTTCTTATTTTTTAAAACTAGAGAATTTTTTTTATAAATCAACTAAATTTTAACTTTAATATTTTCTTAATATTTGTGTTTAGGTAAATTAGGATAAGGATTTATAACTGAGGTAGGGGGAGTGAGGAACATAGTTGTGTTTTCTGATTTATACCATTTTCATGTTTCTATCTGACAAAATTGTGTTAACTAATTTATAAACTTAGACTAGATGCAAACTTAATTAAACTTATTAAATTTGTGATTTTTTTTTTGAGTTGGGTGAATTAAGTATATATTATGAAGAATTTAGTTCATAAAAATTATAAAATCTGATTCAAGTAAAAAAACTTAAAATGCAAAAATTAATATTAATAAAAAAATCAAAAATAAGTTTCTTTATTTTAAAATTTTTATATCTTGTATATGATAATTTATCAATATAAATGAGTTTAATTTTAATTATTTATATTTTTAATATATTTAAATTAAATTATAATTATATTTTAATAATTATTTATTAATCCAGATAAACTTATAATTTGAATTTGCGGAGTTTACGTTTATTTTACAAATTTAATTAAATTTGCGAGTTTAATAACTTAGTGAGGAATAAAGGACGATGATGATCATTAAAAAGACAGTGACCGTGACGCGTGGAAAATGTCCATCACGGGGACAGGCAAAACGACTGCGTTTTTTTGGGGAATAACGGAGGCAGAGCAATAAATATCTTAAGGAGGAAGATTATTGCCCGTGGATTACGCGGTTTCGCAGCCAGTGCCAGCTTTTTGTTCTTTTGATCACTCTCACGCACACACCACTTCCAGCCTCGCATGTCCCGAGTGACAGACGCACGCTGCTTCCACCGCTCTGCATTTCTTCTTCTTCTCCTCACTTCTCTACGCCTAGCCTTCTCTTCTCCGATCGTGATCCACCTCATTTGATCTTCTATCACCTCCTCAGTTCTGATCCTCCGCCGCTTTTTCCAGAATTTTCTTATTCAAGGTAATCCTAATTTTCACCGCCAAGACTGCTTTTTTTGATCCCAATTCCCAACCATTTGTCGAAGACAAGCGAATTTGGTATATCTGGTTGTTGTTCGCTCAATCGCAAATGGCATCGAGCACGATCCGTAAGGCGATTGGCGTTGTGAAAGACCAGACTAGCATTAGCATAGCAAAAGTCGCTGGGAATTTAGCTCCTGACCTTGAAGTCTTGGTAGTCAAAGCCACGAGCCATGAGGAAGTCCCAGCTGATGATAAATATATTAGAGAGATTTTGAATCTTACTTCGTATTCCAGGGGTTACGTTACTGCTTGCGTGATCACTATATCGAAGAGGCTCGGAAAGACGCGCGATTGGATCGTGGCTCTCAAGGCTCTAATGCTTGTTCATAGGCTTTTGGCTGATGGGCATCCTTTGTTTGAAGAGGAGATTGTGTATTCCACTCGGAGAGGCATGAGGATTTTGAATATGTCTGATTTCCGAGACGAAGCGCATTCCCATTCTTGGGATCACGCGGGTTTCGTGAGGCTGTATGCCATGTATCTTGATGAGAAGGTTGAGTTTGTGGTGTATCAGAAGAATCTGAAAGGCGTTGAATCAGCTGAAGGTAAATTTGCGGAGAGGGATGATAGCTGGGGGCCATCTCGACGTGGGTATGGTGAATACAAGGATGATTTTAATCCTGGAATGGGTAGGAGGACGAGGTCATATGATGACGTGAATGAAGCAATTGAGAAAGATCAGATCAAGAGTGTGATAACTCCTGTGAGAGAAATGAAACCTGAGAGAATTTTGGACAGATTGACCCATTTGCTTCGGATTCTTGATCGTGTATTGGGTTGTAGGCCAAGTGGTGCTGCGAAGAGTAGCAGGCTAATTCTCGTCGCTGTTCACCAGATTGTAAGGGAAAGCTTCAAGCTATACGTAGAGATATGTGAGGTATTGGGTGTGTTGCTGGATCGATTCACAGAGATGGAATATGCATATTGCGTAAAGGCCTTTGATTGTTATGTCAGTGCGGCGAAGATGATTGATGAACTTGTGGATTTCTATAATTGGTGTAAAGATATAGGCATTGCGAGGTCATCAGAGTACCCTGAAGTTCAGAGGATAACTGATAAGCTTCTTGGAACACTTGAAGGTTTTCTGAAGGAAATGACTAAAAGGCCAAAAAGTCCTGAGAAGAAAATAGAAGTGAAGGAAGCTGTCAAAGAACCAGAAACAGACATAAATGAGGTGAAGGCTCTTCCTGCGCCGGAGAATTTTACACCTCCACCCACTCTGGCAAACCAACCTAAGACTCCTCCTCCTCCTCAACAAGTGACAAATGATTTAGTGGATCTAAGGGATGAAGGCAATTCAGCTGATGAACAAGGCAATAGACTAGCTCTGGCATTGTTCTCTGGAGCCCCAACTGTAAAGACAGAAGGTTCCTGGGAAGCATTTCCTTCAGATAATGGAGGATCTGAAGTGACTTCAGCATGGCAAACACCGGCAGCCGAACTGGGCAAAGCAGATTGGGAATTGGCACTAGTAGAATCCAGTAGCAATTTGTCCAGGCAAAAGGCAGATTTAGCAGGAGGTTTTGATTCACTAATACTGAATGGCATGTATGATCAAGGTGCCGTGAGGCAACATGCAAGCACATCTCAAATAAGTGGTGGGAGTGCAAGCAGTGTGGCACTCCCTGGCAAGAGTGCCACCCCAGTGCTGGCTCTGCCGGCACCGGATGGCACAGTTCAGGTGGTGGGGCCACAGGACCCATTTGCGGCATCCCTTTCTGTGCCACCACCTTCTTATGTCCAAATGGCAGAAATGGGGAGAAAACAGCAGATGCTTGTGCAGGAACAGCAGATATGGCAGCGATATGGGATGAATGGAATGCAAGGCCAAGTGGGTTTGGCCAAGATTGCTGCTTCTGGTGCTCAACCAATGATGATGCCTCAGCCTTATGGAATGCCTCAATACAGTGCCATGGGGCAACCAGGAGGGTACTATTATGCACCATTTTGATTTTCCATGGTGCAACACTCTGTTTTTCAAGGGCTGTTTTTTTGCTGGACAAGGTAAAAACAAAAACAAAAAGGCCGAAGTTGTTTACTTTTCTCACTCTGATTTTGTCCATGTCGATTTATTTGACAGGTCCTTTTTTCAGACTTTGTGAGAGCTATATATATATATATATATATATATAAAGGAATCCATGTGATGGGCTTTTCTTTGTGCCTAGTATTTTTGACACAATTGTATCTATCCTCATCTCACTTTGCTTTGAAAATACGGTGAACACTGAGTGGATAGATTCTGATATGATACTGGCAAATCTCAAAACAAATCAAATGCATTACGGGAGTCGGTCTCTTCGTTTGTAAGGAATGACAACTCATTTTATAGAGCTGAACAAAAGTTGCTGTAGAGTTTCACAATTTTTTATTTAAAAACATACATTTATATTGTTCGATTTTATTTTAATATATGAAAAAAATGTTTCAAATAATATTAATTATTTTATTATTAAATAAAATATCTATAATCAAAATTAATGTAATTATAGTTTATGTATTTTAATGGTTAAATCTCTTGGCGTTGGTTTGGAATTCTCAAAATTAAAAATTCACGAAGTGTCTCTTGAATGATGAATAGAGAAAAATATGAAAAGAAACATTGTGTAAATAATCTCGCTTTATCATATTTTCTTAACTTCAAAGGTATTCTTGCCCAATCCTGATGGCATCAGACGAATTGACCTCATTCTAAATTTGCAATACACCCTGCTTATCTTGATTTTTCTCTCATTTTAAAAATTTATGTAAATTTGTCCATAAAAACTGGTTCAATCGATAAAGATTTGGCTTATATTTTATAAGATCGTGAGTTTAAATTTTATTATTAATTTAACATGTTCAAGCTCTGATAAATTTTAGTTTTTTAGGGCCCAATTTATCTAATTTTTTATAATTAAAAAAGGCAAAGTAAATCTGACATTGTGTTCATCAATCACCACAAAAAAATAACATGGGTAACTACTGTGTCTAGATTTGCTAAATAGTGTGTTGTGGCAAAAGAAATTTTAGAACAGAAGAATGACAGCTACTTTGATTTCTTGAATATATAAAAAAAATTAATCATTTAATATTTATAATTTTAACTCAGTTGTAACTTAATTTTTTAATTTTAACTCATTACAAAATCTTTAAAATTTTGATTTGATTATAAATTAGTTTTTAAATTTTATCTTTTATAATTTAGTTCCTAAAGCTTCAATCTCTTAAATATTGCTTCCTATATTTTAAAAAATAAAATTATAAAGATTAAAAATATTTTAAATTTTTAATATTTATAATATTTATAAATATTAAAAGATTCTAATAATTTAAAATATCAGTAAGAAATTTTAAAATATTTTTAATTTTTATAATTTTATTTAAAATATAGAGACTAATATTTAAGAGGTTGAAACCTCAAGAATTAAATTGCAAGAAGTAAAATTTAGAGACTAATTTACAATCGAATCAAAACTTTAGAAATTGAGTTATAATGATTCAAAATAGAGGGATTGAATTACAACTAAATTAGAGATATAAGGATCAAATGATTATTTTTTACAAAAAATAATCAGTTCATATAGTTTAAGAAAGTTGATTAAGTGATAATTATGTTTGAAATAAAAAATGAACTAAATTATCCTTATCATTAATCAAATAAATTTGGACAGTTAAATTATCCTTGTAATTAATAAAATAAATTTGTCTCGTAAAAAGAAATTTTAATTTTATGAGGAACAATTTGAAAAAAATATATGATAAATACTTCTTGAAATTTATAATTTTTTTATCAATAAAAACAAAGAGATACATAATTTCTCTTATATTTAAAAATGGAGGGAGTTAGCTTCAAAAGATTAAAAATTAAATTAATAATAATTAGGTCTTGATACAATTAACTAAAAAATAAGTTATAAATATTGATTCACATAGTTATAAATATAAATCTTAATTATAATTTAAGAGTTGCATTTAAATGCATCGCACAACCTCACCACACCCAATATAATTTTTTCCCCTTTGACTGCTATGGGATTTCATCTTGGAGCCTCTTGCATTAAGGGAAAGGATCATGCCAATTGGGGTACAAGCTCTTTTAAACTTTATTATCTCTTTATTATTATCAACGAATTTCATTTATTAAACAACCAAACAAATCATGATGCCTAAAACGGAGTTCACATGTGACCTTGGATTTTTTGTTTTTTTGTTTTTAATCTAAAACATCTCATTGAAAGCTCAACTAGAGAAGTATAGAAACATACAAATAAACAAGCCAGAAAACAACAAAACTAGCAAAGAAACGAGAAAGGCAAACAAACATTATAAAAGATTAGATATTGTAAACTTTAGTGTGCATTAGAATATATGGAAAAAAAAAAATTAGAAGTTTAGATTAGACTGGATATTAGAAGAATAATTTGGTCATCACAAACATCCTAAGATCCTATGCCCAAACCAAACCGTCTAATTCCAAAAGCCATTTGCGAATAAAGTGATAGATATCGTTCAGAAACGGAATATGATTTCCAAGTCCAATCAATGATGATCACTATGGCATTTTCAGCCTCATCCATCCATACCTACCAGCCCCTTTCACTGTTGTCATCATCATCGCCATCACCATAGCCATCATTGTAAATATATGTTATCCCATTAATCTTGATCCTCTTTATAAGCCATTTGCCTCAGCATCCGTCAGAGTCGCAGTATCAGTCATTCAATAAATATTCAATCTCATATTTGTCACATTATTTTATGTAAAAATAATTTCACTAAATTAATTTTTTATTTTATTTTTTATTTTCAAAACTTATTCTAAAAAATCAACTTACAGATTTTTACAAAAACACTTATAGTTTGACTTATTCAAACTCTAACTTGATTAATTTAATAAAAATTTGTTTTAAAAAATTTACCAAATAAGTTAGACTATAAACAGATACTTTCTGGCTTAAATTCTAACATGATTTATTTAATAAAAATTTATTTAGAAAAATCTACAAAGTAAGTCAGACTATAGGCAAGTATCATGATCTGACTTATTCAAATTCTAACGTGATCTATTTAATAAAAATTTATTTAAAAAATGAGAGAAAATTTTAGAACAAGTTAAAAGAATTATTTTTTAAAATAAAATTATTTTTACATGAGATGATGTGATAAAATATGAAACATTAAATATTTATTGAACGGCTGATATTAGGACATCGAGGGAAATGGCTTTTGAGAGAATCTGGATCCATTATTCTATACCCTGAACATAATTATGTTGAGAGTAATAAAAAAAATTAAATATTTTAAAAATTATAGCATTCCAGCTAAAAACAAACCACATACATAAATAAAATGTTTATAACAATTTAGAAACTTGAAAGGGTCTGATTTTACTGTGAAATTTTAAAGTGATAGACACAGGTGACAGAGTAGTGCATACGTGTATCTATCTGTAAATATACAACACAAATCATATCATGTATCCAATACAGATACGTTTGCTTTTGAAAAACACAACGTTGCTTCGTAGCCAGCTTATATAACATCAAGATGATAGGACGATTAAACCTTGAGCAGAATCAATGGGACTTGTGAATTTATCCAACATCCGATAAATAGTCATTTTAAAAGAACATGGTATGTCCTCATCTGAAAAGTCTAAATAAATGCCAAACAACTTCTTGATTAGTTGTCAAAATTGTTTATACACGAGCTACAACAGCACTGTTACCACCCACGTTTGTATTCTCAACATAAATTAAAAAAAAAAATCCTTCATGCGAGATACATTTACTGCGATCAATAATAAGACTAGGATTCACACAAGAATCTGGCATCTTGTTCCTCCAAGTTTTTCCAGGACTGGACTAGGCCACTGCCTCCCGCTATTCACTTGTAGCAACGGGTTATTTACTCAAGCTTCTGATCCTTTGCACAAGAGAACAGGCAGTACAGCTACAGTAATCATCCAAGAGCTTCCATTTTTGAGCTGAGTTATTCCAGTGGTTTTATTTATGCATACAAATGAGAATTGAATTCACTTTTTAGTCAAAAAATGGCGGTGAATCCATACATAAATGCACCAACTTTCTCTGATATTGACCGAAATATTCCCCAACTGCAATGACATCTTCACTCCGGGGATCTAGACCAGGCAAGTGCACGAGGTTCTCCTTGAAGGAAGGACTTTCATCATCTGAAACATCAAAGCTGGCAATTATTTCTGAATGGATCTCATGGCATGCAAGGATAAACATTGCTGCTGTTTCAGGTAGTTGAGCCTCACGGAGAGCTGCCAATGCCTCTTGTAGAGCACCAGCAGCAACAAACAAAATCAGAGCCCTACAAAAGAAGACAATTGTGAGTCAAAATTCTTGACAGAGAGTGAAGATTTGACGAAACAAGGATAATCGTACCTCCAGATATTATGTTCAGTGCGCAGGACATATCCAGCCCACCTTTGTAACACTCTGAAATGATAATATACAGATTAAAGGTAAAAACCTCCTAATCATGATGATGAAGGTTTCAAAGTCTTTCTCATGATCATGCAGCCAAAGAGACATATTCATGTTTAAAAAAAAAAAAATGTTAAATTCACAACCAGAAGCAAAAACTGGCTTTGGATTCACGTCCTGTCATTCAGTCAGGGCATAGTAAGTAATGCTGCAAATATGGCTTATGAGACTATGACATGAAATGAAAGTAGAATTCGTATGAAGAAACAGTTGCAATAAATTAAAAGAAGAAAGGACCTTGCGTAATCTGATCCCTTTAAGTGACTAGCAGCTAACGTTGAAGCATCCATCCAGCATCCAGCATCTTGCAGCTGCATAGAGATATGGTGGTGTATTTCTTTAGAAGAATCGGCCATTATATTGAAAGGATTTTTCTTCTATTTATTTATTTATTGAAGTTTTAAAACAGCTAAGCTAGGGTTTGTAAAGTTCAATTTCTAAATTGAACATGCCCAACATATTTACTCTGAGCCAGGCAGCAAGACAATATGATTTTATGATCATTAGCAAGTGAAGAATGTTATAACATATAATAAAACTTAATTCCGTTGCTTAGGAATTTTAATCATTTCAATAGCAACTGAGTTTACCTTGGCTTTTTGGGTTCCCCAAAATATCACTAAAAATTACACAAAGGATAATTACTGACTGACAAATATATATACATTTCACATAATTACAATTGGATTTCATAATTTCAGCAAATGATAAAATGTTTCATTCCCATATAAAAACAACAAGCCTTATTCCATTAAGTAAAGCTAGCTATATGAATTGCATGATGTTGTTGTACTCTATTAAAAATGTTTCACTCTCATAATAGATTGAAAATACTGCCATATACTTTTTTCCACAAAT